CAAAACTGTGTAAAGCAGAAGGTATAAGGAAATAGATCATACTACACTAAATACCATTTAAAAGACTGCTGGGCCATTCAAAAGCATTATCTGTAGAATGGGACCCCAAATGGAGGGTTAGAGTGAGAAATAAGGCTGGAAAGATAGTGAGGGGCAAAATTATACAGCATCTTTGTTGCACCAGGGTTCATGGTTGCCATCAAAAGACCCAGACCACACACGCTGTATTAGTGCATGAGTAAACACTTTACTCACATAGAGAAGAGACAGAGCAAAATCAGCTTCACTAGTGGGCATCAGTCTCCCATGGCTGGCAGGGTCATGCCTGATATGGCCGGTTCAGGGCAGATGTTCTACGTTCACTCCTCTAGCGCCATAGTCAAGAGACCCTGTTCCCTCCCTGCCGGGAACAAATATAGAAGTGAGGTTGACCAGGTGCCATATGGTGCCCACAAATGAGCAAGAGACAGAGAAAGTTACTGTGTATTGAGAACTGGGGGAAAGCTTCTCCAATTAGGAGAAGGAACTTGGAGAGAGAGAGAGACCCAATTCATAGCCTCCGGATGAAGAATGTTCTGGGCCCAAGGCCTTTATTTAGGCAGCCCAGATGGGATGCATAGGGGCAGATCATTCCCCCAACAATCTTGAATGTCCAAATTAGAAATCTGCAGTTTGAACTGAAGGTGTTAGGAGTCATTAAGTTTTTGAGAGTGGGCATAATAAATCTAAGTGCTATTTGGGAAATCAATAAACAGTGAAGTAGACAAGTGGATAGACCAGAATGTGGGGAGACTGGAGAAAGGGAAGCCAAGTGAATTTTGGACACGGGCTTTTGTTTAACATTTATCTACCAGGTATTGTGCTCTCAGTTGTTTCCAATTTAAAACTTGGAGACGATATTTCTTGTTTTCTTTCATAGATTCCTTGACTCTGTCAGCAATCTGTTCATGTCAGTCTATCTTATTTTCCCTGCGTGGTGCAAAGGATTAACATGCTGAGCTTAACCGAAAGGTTGGTGGTTCAAGTCCACCCGGATGTGCCTCAGAATAAAGGTCTAGTGATCTACTTCCAAAAAATCAGCCATTGGGACCCCTATGGAGCACAGTTCAACTCTGACACGTGGGGTTGCCATGAGTCAGAACTGACTCCATGGCAACTGGTTTTGGTTTCTATCTAAAATTTACTTCTGTTCTCATGATGATAATGGTTTTCTCAGCTCTTTACATTTACGAACTTGCTTAATAACAGCCCTCTAAGAAAGGTAGCTGCTGTTATCCAGTGCCTGGAACAATCTTCAGCACCTAAGACAGAGCCCGGGACAGTGTAGGCACCCCGTAATTATGTGTTCTTAACTGAACCCCCATTTTATAGATAAGAAAACAGAGGCACGTAGAGGTGAAGTTGCTCAAGGTCACACTATTATTAAGTTCTGGAGCTGGACTTCTAACTCAGAGAGTGTAATCTTGCATTCTTCATCACAATTCTGCTTCAGTTGTCAACCTGTTTCAAAGATCTTCTTATTCCCCTTCTATACTATTTCCCTCTTTTTATTTATTCAGTCTTTCCTTTGGCCTAGCTTGGCATTTATGAATCCTTATTGGTTTATGAGTCAAATAACTCCAAAATTTCTAAATGTTTTTAGAGCTCTGTAATGGGAAGTATATTTATTCTCCAGTGGATAGCATATTCCAACATAGTTTCACACTTCTATGTGCCAAAAACCTCTTGAGTTTGGTGTCTCCTTTTTTCTGGGCCTTTATCTTCTAAATGGTCTCTGGGTTTCTAGGTTATCACACCTGGCGTTATGAAAACCAGAAAGTCATTCGGAGAGACACAAATAACAGATGTATTGGGTCATAAAAAGGTGAGTGAGAGGAAATTGGTTAGAATTCCAGCTCCAGGGTGTCCAACATACATCAGATCACACACACTCACATATAAACACACCATCTCTGTCTGCAATCAGCCTTCTCCCATTGCCTTTATGGCAAAGCTCTGTTTCCTCATCCTTGGCTGTGTGCTTAGCACTCTTGCATACTTAAGTATAGGACCAATTACATTATTACATAGATTTTTAAAGTTTCTAGGGATTCCTGGAAATGTTATGAGTTCTAGGTATTTGTTATTTATTCTTTCCCTAAGAGATTGCAAGCTCTTTGAAGATGAGAAATGTATTTTTTGTTCATAGAATCATTTCCTTAAGTAGAGAATGCTAACTAAATACTTCACACACACACACACACACACATATACATTTTCACACATGCACACACAGTAGTAACCTGCTCCCTTTAAAACACTAGTTATCTAAGTCGTACTTTGGACCTAGATTTTTTTCCTCTTTGACTGAATCTCTTGTAAAGTTTCATTCAGAAGAAAATAAATACCTTAGCTTTCTATTTAATTTCACATTCTGCAATAAGCCACTTCTTCATTTCTAGCTCATCTGAACCCAGGACCCCATTTGCCGTGGCTCTTACACAGGCTTTTGAAGACTGCATTAAACAAACAGTCCTATGGCAAGCAAGCAAGATCATAATTTCATATATTTACCATAAATACAGCTATTGAGCATCTAGTACAATGGATTGAAAAAAAAAAGTTGTCCTTGAGTTGATTGTGACCCATAGTGACCTCATGTGTGTCAGAGTAAAATTGTGCTCCATAGGATTTTCAATGGTTGATTTGTCAGAAGTAGATTGCCAGGTCTTTCTTCTGAGGTGCCTCTGAGTAACTCAAACCTTCAAACCTTCGGTTAGCAGCCAAGCACTTAACCATCTGCACCTTAGATGCAGATAATGCATGTTTATGCAGATAAATATGAAACGCAGTCCTAAGAAACTGTTAGACTTACTTGAGAAGGAAAATATAATACACCTAAAATAGATCATGTGAGACTGTAAATTACAAGAGACGAAGTAGTTCAGACAATGAAGAATATATGTGATCAAAACAGAATTTGCTGGGGGCAAAAATGGTCTGACAAAGCCTCACAGAACTGGGACTTTACCTTAAAGGATGATTGTATTTCAGATTGGCAAGAGGTAGAGCTTTAAGCTCTGTTTCCTCTGCCTGGAATGTTCTTTAGATGTGTTTTGATGACTGGTTCTCTCATGTCACTCAGAGGTTCTACAGTAAGAGTCACTGCCCCAGAGACACCTTCCTTAACCTTGTTTTAAATTTCTCTCTAGTACCATCTGATATTTTCATTGCTTTGTGCTTATCTACTTATTACATGTCTCCCCTTTTTGACTCGTTTGTTATCTGTCTCTCTGTCTCCATAAGGGCTGTTACTTTGTCTTCTTGTACTACGTTCACAGTTCCTTGAGTCGACTCCAACTCATTGCGACCCCATGTGTGTCAGAGTAGAACTGTGCTCCATAGGATTTGCATGGCTGAGACCTTTTGAGAGCAGATCACCAGGCCTTTCTTCCAAGGTGCCACTGGGCAGGTTTGAACTGCCAAACTTTTGGTTAGTAACCCAGTGCTTAACTGCTTATGCTACCCAGGGACTCCTGAAGATGAATGGGTGGATAGTTAAATTAATCATGAAAACAGCGTGAGAAAAGGCCTAGAAGAGCTGGAATGCAAAGGAAACATATGACAATGTGGCAATTCCAAACAAAAGTGGAGAGGGTATAAAAAGGGTGGGAGGGGCAGTGGGAATAAGCTTGTCTGGTAGTTTAAAAAAAAAGATATAGACAGGCTATTCACAAAATACAGAACTAAAATGTCCAATAAGCATATAAAAATACACACTTTCATTAGTTATCAAAGAAATGCTAATTAAAATAATTAACATTAAAACTAACACTTAAAATTGACCCAAAAAATAAGATGATAAAGTCCAGAATTGCCAATATTTCTCAAATTTAGCACTATTTCCAGAGGAAAATATGCATCAAACTCTCAATAATCTATATATCATTTGGCCTAGCAATTCTACACATAGAATTTACCTTAGGAAATAATTAAGCAAAACTGAGCGACAAGAATGTGAATCTCAGGATTGTTTATAAAAGTGAAAAACTGACAATTTCCTAAGGGTCTCACAATGGGCAATTCATTTAATGGCTCATGTTATGTTCATGTAATGGAATACTACGCATCCATTAAGCAGAATGTTTTAGGTGTGAAAAAATGTTCATGAAATATTGCTTAGTGGAAAAGTCACTTATAAAGATAGTGACCACAGCATGATCCCAATTTCATAAAAACAAAACAAAAAAAATTAAATTTATGCATAGCAAATAAACTGGACTTCCAGGACCAAGATGATCAAGTAGGGATTACCTGCTGTATCTGCCAAATCAAGTAAGTTTTATAGCTGAATTGGAGATTTTGGGGCTGAGTTAGTAATAGGTGTAAAGAAAACTAAGCAAACAATAATATGAGGAGATTATTAACCCTAGGGAAAACAAATACTGTATAATAAAGAAATAATTACTTTAGTGTTCAACATGCCTCCATTGTGAATGATATTTGTATGCCCGAAATAATGCAAACATTGAACAGTAACATAAGCAGAAAGTGTGACATAACTATACTGCAAGAAAGTAGAAAGGCCAGTATATGTGTGAGGGTGGTGTAAGAAAGCTAATATCCCTTCTCCCATAGAGGAAAGCCAATAGGCAACATCTAAAACAAAAGCCAATAAATAGCAATATATGGATACTAGTTAGAAATATAAAAAAGAAAAAAAATCAAACCCGTTGCTGTCAAGTCGATTGCGACCCTACAGGGCAGGGGAGAACTGCCCCATAGGGCTTCCAAGAGCACCTGGTGGATTAGAACTGCTGACCTTTCGGTTAGCAGCTGAACTCTTAACCACTACACCACCAGGGTTTCTGTTAGAAATATGGAGGTAAGTAAATACCAGAAGAAATAATAGCAGCATTGAAAGCAAGTAGTGGTGGAACTTAAAAGATGCAGTGCAGCAGTTTTCATTATAAGTACTATTAAACTTTTCAATAAACGTGTGCCTACGTTGATTTGATGTGGCATTGGTGGTTCAGTGGTAGAATTCTTGTCTTCCATATAGGAGGCCCGGGTTCAATTCCTGGCCAATGCACCTCATGGGCAGCCACCACGCCCCTCTCTGTCAGTAGAGCCTTGCATGTTTCTATGATGCTAAACAGGTTTCAGTGGAGCTTCCAGACTAAGACGAACTAGGAAGAAAGACCTAGCAATCTATTTCCAAAAATCAGCCAAAAAAACCCTGAGTCACATCAGTTCGATTTATTACCGGGTCACAGGGATGGTGTAGTGTTTTGGCACAGCATTTTGTTTTGTTGTGCATGGGGTCACCATGAGTTAGAGGCGGATTCAACAGTAGCTAAAAAAAAAAATATTGATTTGATAAAAAAATTAAAATTGAAGCAAGAGTTTGGATTTAGACAGAAATTATTTTGATTATCCACTTAATCTAGATTGAATAATATACTAGGTTCTACTTCATATGGTTAAAAAAAGAAAAAGAAAAAAAAACAGCTTCCAAATTAATGGCACCCAGACAAGCAAAGATTGGGGAAGTTCTTTCTTATTTATTTACCTGTCATGAAAAGTTGTCTCTTCTCTGTGTGTAGATGAAAAGTGGAAAGTGCCCTCAGAGAAAAAGCTAGTTAAATATAGAGCTCACCTAGTTTTTTATTATCCTCTTTCTTATTTCATGTCCCTTCCAGGGTCTCCCATTTGGGCGTTGTTCTTCAATACCTTCAAACAGTTGTATATATATATATATATATATATATATATATGGAGTCTTGCTGGCACAGTGGTTAAGAGCTGGGCTGCTAACCAAAAGACAGTGAGTTTGGTTTATGGTATAGATATATATATGTGTGTGTCCACAGGGATTTCATTGGCTGATTTTCAGAAGTAGATCACCAGGACTTTCTTCCTAGTCTGTATTAGCTTGGAAGCGACACTGAAATCTTCTCAGCATCATCCAATCAACCCAATGCCATCAAGTCAATTCTGACTCATAGCGACCCTATAGAGCAGAGTAGAACTGCCCTATAGGGTTTATACGGAGCAGCTGGTGGATCTGAACTGCCAACCTTCTGGTTATCAGCCAAGCTCTTAACCACTGCACCACCAGGGCTCCGTTTAGCATCATAGCAACATGCAAGCCTCCCGACAGACAGGTGGTGACTGTGCATGAGGTGCACTGGCCAGGAATCAAACCTGAGTCTTTCACATGGAAGGTGAGAATTGTACCACTGAACAACCACTGTGCCCCACAAGCAGTCTCTAAGTGTGCCAAATCCCAACTTGATGCTGCCTTTGCTCACCAAGGTCATGCATCTCTCACTAGCTCAGAATGCCCCACCTTCTCTAGCAGTGGAACCAAGACAAGGCAAGTGTGGCAGTAAGAACGCAAATAAATGGCAACACAGAAATGATAGTGTATCAATTCAACAAACATTTCTACTTTATTGGAGGCACTGTGCTGGGCACTGGACATACAGTGGTGTATTATCTGATGGTGGAGGTGCTAGAGATATTTAAACAAGTAATTTTACACATTGTGACAAGTGCTAAGATAAGGATATGCCGAAGGCATTGGCCAAAAAAAACCAAACCCGTTGCCAATGAGTCGATTCCGACTTATAGCAACCCTATAGGGCAGGGTAGAACTGCCCTATAGGGTTTCCAAGGAGCAGCTGGTGGACTCACACTTCTGACCTTTTGGTTAGCAGCCAAGCTCTTAACCACTGTGCCACCAGGGCTCCAGGGTACAGAGGAAGCTCAAATAAGAGGCACTTAACTAGAGACGACTAATTTGAAGAAGGTAATATTAAAAGAGAGTAAGACAGGTTTGGAGTCCCTGGTGGTGCAAACAGTTAACATACTTGGCTGCTAACCAAAAGGTTGGAGGTTTGAGTCCACCCAGAGGTGCCTCACAACAAAGGCCTGGCAATCTACATCCAAAAAACCAGCCACTGAAAACCCTTTGGAGTACAGTTCTACTCTGACACGCATAAGGTTGCCATGAGTCAGAATCAACTGCACAACAACTAGTAATAGTTAAGGCAGGCTTAGAATGTGGGCCCTGGAGACAGGCAGACCTTGACTCCAATGCCATCATTTACGGAACCAATAGCAAGTCACTTAAACTCTCCAAGCTTTACTTTCTCATCTGTCAAATGTGGATGATAACTGTTGTTGGGTAGATTAAGAGATAATGTGTGCAAATTGTCTCATCAATAACAAGCACTTAAAAATTCTTCTTCTTCTTCTGAAAATAATTTTCGGATTTGAAGACCGCCATCATGTAGAAACAATGACAGAGATTGCATGATAGAATTTTGCAAGATCAATGACCTATTCACTGGAAATATATTTTTTCAACAACATAAACAGTGACTGTACACGTGGACCTTGCCAGATGGAATACACAGGAATCAAATCAACTACATCTATGGAAAGAGACAATGGAGAAGCTCAATATCATCAGTCAGAACAAAGCCAAGGGCAGACAGTGGAACAGACCATCAACTGCTCATATGCAAGTTCAAGGAGAAGCTGAAGAAAATTAAAACAAGTTCATGAGAACCAAAGTACAACCTTGAATTTAGAGACTATCTCAAGAATAGATTTGATGCATTGAACATTAATGACTGAAGACCAGACAAGTTGTGGGATGACATCAAGGACATCATACATGAAAAAAGCAAAAGGTCATTAAAAAGACAGGAAAAAAACAAAAGACCAAACTGGATGTCAGAAGAGACTCTGAAGCTTGCTCTTGAATGTAGAGTAGCTAAAGCGAACAGAAGAAATGATGAAGTAAAAGAAGTGAACTGAAGATTTCAAAGGGCAGCTCAAGAAGACAAGGTAAATTATTATAATGAAATGAGCAAAGACTTGGAGCTAGAAACCAAAAGGGAAGAAAACACTTGATAAAGTAGATGGTCAGTGAAAAAAAGGAAGACCCTCAAAGAGACGGATTGACACAGTGGCTACAACAATGGGCTCAAACAGCAACAATTGTGAGGAAGGCTCAAGACTGGGCAATATCTCATTCTGTTGTACATGGAGTCGATGTGGGTTGGAACCGATTCAACGGCACCTAACAACAGCACCAATAAGAAAGTTCAGCAAAGTTGCTAGAAATCAATATATACAAATCAATAGTAATTTTTAAAATGCAATTTTTAAAGGGCATTAGTAACCATAGAAATAAAAATGTTAAGGTGCCCAGGAATAAGCCTAACACACGATGTGTAAGACCTTTATGGAAAAAGCAATATAACTTTATTGAAGGGGGAAAGAAAAGGAGGGATTTACTATGTTTATGGATGGGAAGTTCAATATTTCAAGACAGCAATTCCCATCAAATTTATCTATAAATTTAATAGAATTTCAATAAAAATTCCAATAGGGTTTTTCAAAGCACTTGACAAGATGATTCTAAAATGCATATGAAACAGCAAAAACTCAAGAATAACCCAGACAATTGCAAAGAAGGGGAGGAAAAAGGCAGAAAAGGAGAAGAAAAAGAACAAGAGGGTTATCCTTTTGAACACTGATACACAAAGTAATTTAAACTGTGATATTGCCATAGGGAATACAGGGTTTAGAAATAGAACTGCTTAGATATGGAAATTTGGAATTTGAGAGAAAAATGTCACCACAAATCACTGGGCAAAGAATTAGGCTGTTCAATAAACAATGCTTCGACATCACTATATGGGAAAAGATAGGTCCAACTTTTCCTATGGAAGACTATAAAATTGGGTACCTACCTCATATCATTGGCGATGTCATCAGGAAAGAACAGTCCCTAGAAAAGACATCATATTTGGTAAAGTAGAGGGTTGGCAAAAACAAGGCAAGTCCTCAAGAAGATGAATTGACACCACAGTCACAAAAATGGACTCAAATATATCAAAGATGGTAAAGATGGCACAAGACCAGGCAAAGTTTTATTCTGTTATACATGAGGTTGCCATGATTTGGAGCTGCCTCAACAGCAACTAAAAACAACAACAACTTCATATCATACACAAAAAAAATCACATGAATGTGAAAAGAAAAATTAAAAAATATATACAGCAGAATATTTTTATGACATCTGAGTATTGACATACTGTTGTTGTTAGGTGCCACTGAGTCAATTCCGACTCATAGTAACCCCATGTGACAGAGTAGAACTGTCCCATTAGGGTTTTCTTGGCTGTAATCTTGCCTTGGTGGCGCAGCGGTTAAGCACTCAGCTGCTAACTGAAAGGTCATCAGTTCAAATCCACCAGCTGCTCCACAGCAGAAAGATGTGGCAGTCTGCTTCCTTAAAGACTGAAGCCTTAGAAACCCTATAGGTCAGTTCTACACTGTCTTATAGGGTCGCTATGAGTCCAAACCGATTCAGAAGCAACAGATTTGTTTTTGTTTTTTTGGTTTAATCTTTACAGAAGCAGATCACCAGGTCTTTTCCCACAGAGCTCCTGGGTGGATTCAAACCACCAACCTTTCAGTTAACAACCAAGTGCTTAACTATTGCACCACCAGGCTCTTTACTGACATATTAACCCATTGCCATCGAGTCAATTCTGACTCACAGCAACCCTACAGGACAGAGTAGAAGTGCCCCATAGGGTTTCCAAGGAGTGGCTGGTAGATTGGAACTGCCAACCTTTAGGTTAGCAGCGGAGCTCTTAACCACTGTGCCACCAGGGCTCCTACTGACATATTACTTAGGCCAAAAACGTAAATCTTATTGAGAAAATAAAATACTGAGATTATAACTATATTAAAATAAGAGCTTCTGTGTATCAAGCCCACAAAAAGAAAGTCAATAGCTACTATGGGGAGGTGTTTAAAAAACCATGTAACTGACTATATAATCAGAATATTAATAGAATTACTTAAAAATCAGGCAAGACAAACAATCCTCCAAAAAGGAAGCACAAATAGATAATAAACATGTATGAAAAGATGCTCCTATCTCTCTCCTAATCAAAGAAATGCAAAGTAAACCAGCAATGAAATACCAGCCCATACCTATCAGATTGGCAAAGATCAGTAAGTCCCAAAATGCCAAGAGCGGGTGGGGCTCCTGCGAAGTCT